TTGGAAAATTCCAGAAAATGATGTCATGGCTTTAGAAGCTTCTGATAGGCTAACTGACATCATTTGAGTCAATTGGAGGTGTACCTGTGTATGTATTTCAAGGCCTACCTTCAAACTCAGTGCCTCTTTGCTTGACATCATGGGAAAATCAAATGAAATCAGTCAAGACCTCCACAAGTCGGGTTCATCCTTGGGTGCAATTTCTAAACGCCTGAAGGTACCACGTTCATGTGTACAAACAATAGTACGCAAGTATAAACAACATGGGACCACGCAGCCGTCATACCGCTCAGGAAGGAGACGCGTTCTGTCTCCTAGAGATGAATGTACTTTGGTGCGAAAAGTGCAAATCAATCCCAGAACAACAGCAAAGGACATTGTGAAGATGCTGGAGGAAATGGGTACAAAAGTATCTATATCCACAGTAAAACGAGTCCTATATCGACATAACCTAAAAGGCTGCTCAGCAAGGAAGAAGCCACTGCTCCAAAACCGCCATAAAAAAGCCAGACTACGGGTTTGCAACTGCACATGGGGACAAAGATCATACTTTTTGGAGAAATGTCCTCTGGTCTGATGAAACAAAAATAGAACTGTTTGGTCATAATGACCATCGTTATGTTTGGAGGAAAAAGGGGGGAGGGCTTGCAAAATGAAGAACACCATCCCAACCGTGAAGGACAGGGGTGGCAGCATCAGGCTGTGAGGGTGCTTTACTGCAGGAGGGACTGGTGCACTTCACAAAATAGATTGCATCATGAGGAAGGAAAATTATGTGGATAAATTGAAGCAACATCTCAATACATCAGTCAGGAAGTTAAAGCTTGGTCATAAATGGGTCTTCCAAATGGACAATGACCCCAAGCATACTTCCAAAGTTGTGGCAAAATGGCTTAAGGACAACAAAGTCAAGGTATTGGAGTGGCCATCACAAAGCCCTGACCTCAATTCTACAGAAAATGTGTGGGCAGAACTGAAAACTCATATGCGAGCAAGGAGGCCTACAAATCTGACTCAGTTACACCAGCTCTGTCAGGAGGAATGGGACAAAATTCACCCAACTTATTGTGGGAAGCTTGTGGAAGGCTACCCGAAACGTTTGACCCAAGTTAAACAATTTAATGGCAATGCTACCAAATACTAATTTAGTGTATGTCAACTTCTGACCCACTGGGAATGTGATGAAAGAAATAAAAGCTGTAATAAATCATTCTCTCTATTATTATTATGACATTTCATATTCTTAAAATAAAGTGGTGATCCTAACTGACCTAAGACAGGGAATTTTTTCATAGGATTAAATGTCAGGAATTGTGAAAAACTGAGTTTAAATGTATTTGGCTAAGGTGTATGTAAACTTCCGACTTCAACTGTATGGAATCATGTAGTAACCAAAAAAGTGTTAAACAAATCAAAATATATTTCATATTTGAGATTCATCAAATTATCCACCCTTTGCCTTGATGGCAGCTTTGCACACTCTTGGCATTCTCTCAACCAGCTTCATGAGGTAGTCACCTGGAATGCATTTCAATTAACAGGTGTGCCTTGTTAAAAGTTAATTTGTGGAATTTCTTTCCTTCTTAATGTGTTTGAGCCAATCAGTTGTGTTGTGACAAGGTAGGGGTGGTATACAGAAGATAGCCCTATTTGGTAAAAGACCAAGTCCATATTATGGCAAGAACAGCTCAAATAAGCAAAGAGAAATGACAGTCCATCATTACTTTAAGACATGATGGTCAGTCAATCCGGAACATTTCAATAACTTTGAAAGTTTCTTCAAGTGCAGTCGCAAAAACCATCAAGCGCTATGATGAAACTGGCTCTCTTGAGGACCGCCACAGGAAAGGAAGATCCAGAGTTACCTCTGCTGCAGAGGATAAGTTCTTTAGAGTTAACTGCACCTCAGGTTGCAACCCAAATAAATGCTTCACAGAGTTCAAGTAACAGACACATCTCAACATTAACTGTTCAGAGGCAACTGCGTGAATCAGGCCTTCATGGTCGAATTGCTGCAAAGAAACCACTACTAAAGGACACCAATAATAAGAAGAGACTTGCTTGGGCCAAGAAACACGTGCAATGGACATTAGACCGATGGAAATCTGTCCTTTGGTCTGATGTGTCCAAATTTGAGATTTTTGGTTTCAACCGCCGTGTCTTTGTGAGGCGCGGTGTGGGTGAACGGATGACCTTCCGCATGTGTAGTTCTCACCGTGAAGCATGGAGGAGGAGGTGTAATGGTTTGGGGGTGCTTTGCTGGTGACACTGTCAGTGATTTATTTAGAATTCAAGGCACACTTAACCAGCATGGCTACCACAGCATTCTGCAGCGGTATGCCATCCCATCTGGTTTGTGCTTAGTGGGACTATCATTTGTTTTTCAACAGGACAAGGACCCAAAACACACCTCCAGTCTGTGTAAGGGCTATTTGACGAAGAAGGAGAGTGATGGAGTGCTGCATCAGATGACCTGGCCTCCACAATCACCCGACCTCTAACCAATTGAGATGGTTTGAGATGAGTTGGACCTCAGAGTGAAGGAAAAGCAGCCAACAAGTGCTCAGCATATGTGGGAACTCCTTCAAGACTGTTGGAAAAGCATTCCTCATAAAGATGGTTGAGAGAATGCAAAGAGTGTGCAAAGCTGTCATCAAGGCAAAGGGTACTACTTTGAAGAATCTCAAATACAAAATATATTTTGATTTGTTTTAACACTTTTTTGGTTACTACATGATTCCATATGTGTTATTGTTGAAAATAGTAAAAATAAAGAAAAACCCTTGAATGAGGAGGTGTGTCCAAACTTTAGACTTGTACTGTATATATACAGTGCCTTCGGAAAGTATTCAGACCACTTGACCTTTTCCAGATTTTGTTACGTTACAGCCTTATTCTAAAATGGATTAAATAAAAATAAATCCTCAGCAATCTACACACAATACCTCATAATGACACAGCAAAATAGTTTTTTAGACATTTTTACAAATGTATAAAAAAATAAAAACAGAAATACCTTATTTACGTAAGTATTCAAACACTTTGCAATGAGACTCGAAAATCCTGTGGGAAATTCTATTGATTAGACATGATTTGGAAATGGACACTCCTGTCTATATAAGGTTAAACAGTTGACAGTGCATGTCAGAGCAAAAACCAAACCATGAGGTAGAAGGAATTGTCCGTAGAGCTCCGAGACAGGATTGTGTCGAGGCACAGATCTGGGGAAGGGTACCAAAACATGTCTACAGTATTGAAGGTCCCCAAGAACACAGTGGCCTCCATGATTCTTAAATGCAAGAGGTTTGGAACAACCAAGGCTCTTCCTAGAGCTGGCTGCCCGGCCAAACTGAGCAATCAGGGGAGAAGGGCCTTTGTCAGGGAGGTGACCAAGAACCCGATGGTCACTCTGACAAAGCTCCAGAGTACCTCTGTGGAGATGGGAGAACCTTCCAGAAGGACAACCATCTCTGCAGCACTCCACCAATCAGGCCTTTATGGTAGAGTGGCCAGACGGAAGCCACTCCTCAGTAAAAGGCATATGACAGCCCGCTTGGAATTTGACAAAAGGCACCTAAAGACTCTCAGACCATGAGAAACAAGATTCTCTGGTCTGATGAAACCTAGATTGAACTCTTTGGCCTGAATGCCAAGCGTCACGTCTGGAGGAAACCTGGCACCATCCCTACGGTGAAGCATGGTGGTGGCAGCATCATGCTGTGGGGATGTTTTTCAGCGACTGGGAGACTAGTCAGGATCGAGGCAAAGATGAAAGGAGCAAAGTACAGAGAGATACTTGATGAAAACCTGCTCCAGAGTGCTCAGGACCTCAGACTGGGGCTAAGGTTCACCTTCCAACAGGACAATGACCCTAAGCACACAGCCAAGACAATGCAGGAGTGGCTTCGGGACAAGTCTCTGAATGTCCTTGAGTGGCCCAGCCAGAGCCCGGACTTGAACCCGATCGAACATATCTGGAGAGACCAGAAAATAGCTGTGCAGCAATGCTCCCCATCCAGAAGAATGGGAGAAACTCCCCTAATACAGGTGTGCCAAGCTTGTAGCATCATACCCAAGAAGACTGGATGCTGTAATCACTACCAAAGGTGCTTCAACAAAGTACTGAGTAAAGGGCCTGAATACTTATGTAAATGTGATATTTCAGTTTTTATTTGTAATACATTTGCAAAAATTTCTAAAAGCCTGTTTTTGCTTTGCCATTAAGGAGGATTGTGTGTAGATTGATGAGGGAAAAAAACAATATAATCAATTTTTGAATAAGGCTGTAACGTAACAAAATGAGGAAAAAGTCAAGGTGTCTGAATACTTTTAGAAAAAAATATAGACTCTTAGCTTTAATTTGACATCCAATTTGAAATGCTCCTATGAACTTCACATGTTGGTGCTCATGGATCCTTTTACGTGGAAATGACCATCACTTACTGTACCTGCCACCATCCTTCATTTCTTATGGTTTGTTCATATCTATAATGTCTTGAGCAGGTGTGTGTCAACAGAATTTGGCCCGAGATAGTCAGGTAGTAGGGCTGGGAATTGCCAGGGACCTCACGATACGATATTATCACGATTCTTAGGTGCCAATACGATACGTATTGTGATTCTTATGATTCTCACGATTCTATATGCATTGCGATTTGATACTGTGATACTGTCAAAAATTATATCTCGATATGTAACTGTATAGATTTTTTCCCCAATCATTATCAGGTAGATGTATGTCAGATGTATTTCAGAAAACCTACATAGACCCTGGTGACCTGGATGGCCCCCATAGCAAACCTAGATATCAGTGTCTCACCACTATGCCACGTGTCTCATCGTTACATCAGTTTACAGTATCATGGCCCAAGCAGGCACCATGCTCCCTATACCACATCAAAAGCCTCAGCAGGTTACAGTACAGTAGCAATCCCCCCTTTCTCTGCACCACCAGCAACAGACAAATCGATCAATGGCAGCATATGTGTTTGTGTTGGATTATGGGTCAGCAGAACGCTGGAGGAGAGGAGACTTCCCTGGGGGGCTCTAACCTCTCTGAGGTAAAACAGGTAGATATTGTTTAGCATGGAAGTGAAACAGGAATACTGCATTATAATAGTAATTTAACAAATAATATCAGTTGATTATGTAGTGTGATTTACTCTGTATGTAGTCCCCTTGGGCATCTACTGTAATGTCCATAATCCATCTTTACTACTTATCCCACTGCATACTGTACAAATATAGATTGGGGCCATATTCAATAACATGCTTTCTCTAATATTGTAAATAAGAAAGTGTGTTGGTATTTTGCTGCATGTCTTTGAGTGTATGTGGTTGGGGCATGTGTTTGAATTGTGCAAATCTGTGCATGTGTGTGTGGTGTGTATTCAGAGTGCCCAGGAGTCAGAGGAGATCCAGGATGAACTGAATGAGAAGGTGGAGAGGCTGAAGGCTGAGCTGGTGGTCTTTAAGAGCCTTATGAGCGATGTGAGTATAGTATATACACCCTCACACTCCACTGCAGCACACTGTCACAGACTGACAGATACCGCAGTCATATCCCTGCTAAAATGATGACAATTACGTTGAGTATACAAAACATGCTCTTTCCATGACATAGACTGACCAGGTAAATCCAGGTGAAAGCTTGATCCCTTATTGTTTTCACTTAAAATCCACTCAATCAATGTGGGGGAGGAGACAGCTTAAAGAAGGATATTTTTGCCTTGAGACAATTGAGACATGGATTGTGTATGTATGTGTGCCATTCAGAGGGTGAAGACAAAAAATGTAAGTGCCTTTGAGCGGGGTATGGTAGTAGGTGCCAGGCCGCGCACCGGTTTGTGTCAAGAACTGCAACGCTGCTGGGTTTTTCACGCTCAACAGTTTCCCGTGTGTATCAAGAATGGTCCACCACCCAAAGGCCATCCAGCCAACTTGACACAACTGTTGGAAGCATTGGAGTCAACATGGGCCAGCATCCCTGTGGAACGCTTTCGACACTTTGTAGAGTCCATGACCCAACGAATTGAGGCTGTTCTGAGGGCAAAAAGGGGGGTGGGGGGGTTCAACTCAGTATTAGGAAGGTGTTCTTAATATTTGGTATACTCAGTGTATATTCTCAACAATACAACAGCATTGGTTGTATTGACAGTCATATTGTTTTTTATAGGGGATGATAGATGTTGTCAGTCATACCGTAGAGGTCGTCAGGGCTTCATTCATCATCCTGAACACACTCAGAGACTGGGCTCCTGGACAGGCTAGTAGATTCACACCCCTCCTTGTTTGGATTTTTACCCAGCAGTGGAAACATATTCTGCCACAAACGGCATTTCAGACAGGCATTAATAAATTAAATGGCACAGTGATCAGATAGGACGGTTTTCATAAACACACAGTAGATCAACAGGACTTTGCGCTGTGTCTGCAGCAACTTATTAGTCCCATGGAGCTTGGCTCTAGTGTGACGGCTGTAATATAATGCAGCTGGCCCAGGCTTAGCTTGTGTTTGGTCAGGAATGAAAACACAAAATTAGCAGGGAGTCATTTGGATTTCCGTTGAAAACCATTCTAGCTTGGCTCCCTCTCTTATTGACTTCTCTGTTTGACTGCCCATGTCGGTTAGTGGCTTTATGGGTAATAGCAGCTTCCTCGTCATGGCACAACTACCTGTAGTCAGAGAAGAGAGGATACATGCAGTACAGTAGTAGATCTATCCGGCAACACAGTGTGTCTAACCTGATAGATCTCCAGGGTAGTGAACAGTGTGATTTGGGACGTGTCCTTAGAATAAGTGTACTTTGTCGTTGCTCATTATTAAGGGCGGTCGACGTCTGAGTTCCAAATATGTCAGGAGATCTCAATATGTCAGGAGGGATCTGGATATGAAAGTAAGAGATACCTCTATTCCAGCATTCCCACTCCCCTTTACCCTATAATCAAAATACTAGCCTTCCCCTTGTAGACAGTTTAGTATAGAATTGTTTGGTCATAATAGCATATTAGACTAATTGTAAGTTATTGAGTGACAAAAAGAAGCATGGGATGCAGCAGCGATCAAATTCATTTTGGAGTTTCCTTTTGGACCTTCACAGAGATGTTGCATGATGTGTTATTGACCCAGACTGACTGGATGTGGGTTTCTGCTGGGTCTGCAATTGAACAAGTGTATACTTTAATACTGCTGCATCCATGCAGGGCTGGCTCTAGCCTTTTGGGGGACCCCAAGAGAGATTTGGTTGGTGGGCATGCAATTTCACGCAATTCTCCAGATTTTGCCATAGGATACATTTTTGCAGTTTTATAACACATTTTATACAATTCTACTCATTTTGTGGTGGGGCAGAGATACATTTTTGCAGTTTTAAAGCTAATTTCCCGCAATTCTACACATTTTGCCATGACTTATGCCATGTTAATGATATCAGAATGAGAGTGACTAACAAAATCAATGGGGGCCCCCTGAAGGTCAGGGCCCCTGGGCACGTGCCCTATGTGCCCGGTCGGTATTTGGCCATGGTTACTACAAGTTTAGATAACTGGTTAGACTGATTTACCAATCTAAGAATTGTTAGGTGACATGGCTAATTGAGTGACTGTCAGTGACTGACAAAAGAAGAGAAAAACTGCTGATGCACAACCACATTTCGAACTTGCACCTTGTGTATTCTGCTATTCTAACTCGACTAAGGGGGCCCTAAGCAACCGCTTATGTTGCTTATGGCTGGAGCCGGCCCTGTGCATATTGCCAATCACAGATAGCCAGTCATGGATGAACTCAGCATGTGACTTATGTTATTCATATCTGTCCGATAGCTTTAAAAAGCGTTCAGACATTTGTTGAGTATAGTAAGTAGAGGTTTTGGTTGGGTGATTCTCTGCTTCACAGCCAACAACACAGACCCCTCTCCTTCCTCTCCAGCAAATGTCCGACTTGGACACTAAGATCCAGGAGAAAGCCATGCGGGTGGACATGGACATCTGCCGGCGCATTGACATCACCGCCAAACTGTGTGACGTTGCTCAGCAGTGCAACTCAGAGGACATGTCAAAGATGTTCAACGTCAGCCCGGCCAGGTCGCTACCAGAGAGGGTGTGTATCTATCTATATGTTAGGCCTCACTCTGGAACAGCTAATGGTGTACTGCTGCTACACTCTCTTCTACATAGGCAGACACACTGCCACTAACACAATACTCATTGACCCCTCCTCCATACACACACAAACACAGTCGCTGCTCAGCGGTGAACTGCTGATGCTGTGACTTTCTGCACTGCACACAAGGTTATCACATTGTGCAGACAGTGCTGGCTAAAGTTCCAACTATGAATCCAACCAGAAACAGACCAGAGGCTTTTTAGGTGGTGCATGGTACTGCCCAAATTACTAATTAGACAAACTGCCTCAAGTTCTGCATTGATGCAGTCAGTAAGTAATCTGGTCGTGTGTGTGTTCCAGGGTGCCAGGGCGTGCTGCAGGACGAAGGAGCGCAGGCCTGTGTCTGACGAGGACAGCTCTGAGATGGATGCAGACCCCAGCACCAGTACCTCAGAGGAGGAGGTCCCTCTCAACATTACTGATGAAATGAAACGCATGCTCAACCAGCTGTGAGTCAGCATTCACACACACACACACACACACACACACACATACACACTCTCTAGAGCTATTCAGGAAGAAAAGAGCCCCCCCCCCCCCCCCCCCACACACACACACCAGTGGTGCGTTGTAATCCTATCATGTTGTCCTTTGCTCCCATCTAGTGTTAATTCAGAGTCCTGCATTCATTATTTTTTCGGTAGTTAATTTCCTGTGCTATATTTAGGGCCACCAAATGATAAATGAGAACATTAAATCAAAGAATATGTCTTCATTGTGTATATGAATTCCTCAGTGGTTATAAGTCTAATTTGTATTACACTAAATATTCTGTCACTGTCTCAAGTCTTTCTCAAACACTGTATGTAGTCTATGTTTTCCTGCATGTCTTCTCTACGTTTTCCTGCATGCACTCTATGTATCTTTCTTCCTTCTCTGTGTTTGAACCTCTTGTGAATGTGGTGCCTGTTGTTTCTCCTATTTTCCTCCCTCTCTCTCGCTCTCTCTCTCCTCTCCTCCCTCCCTCTCTCCTTTCCTCCCTCCCTCTCTCCTTTCCTCCCTATCTCTCTCCTTTCCTCCCTCTCCTCTCTCCTTTCCTCCCTCTCTCTCTCTACTTTCCTCCCGCTCTCTCTCTCTCTTTTCCTCCCTCTCTCTGTCTCTGTCCCCCATAGAAATTGTTCAGATGATAATTTTGTTGCCAGGAGGGAGACGTTTGACATTGATGACGACTGTGACAGCCTGACATGGGAAGAGAACGACGAGACCCTCTTGCTATGGGAGGACTTCAGCAACTACAACATACAACCCGGTGCCATCCCTGCGACAAACTGCACAGCCAACAGCAACACAGAGGAGCCTGTAAGTCGGAATAGATACCATACAGTAAATGTCAAGGACACATATGTACAGGACAATGCATAAACATTTCAATTACCACTACCTACTGATAAACTAATGGGCAAGGGTACAGGAGGGCATTGAGGAGTCTTTCACCTCCCAAACTTCCCATCCATTCATATTCAGCAAAGTGAAATGTTTGCAGTAAAATAACTTATTTTCATTTTGAAATCCTGCCTATTGTTCTGCTCTCAGTTGAGAAATGCAATATCCCAACAGAGTGTTAGCTAATCCTCTTTGCCTTCTTTGCTTCCTCCCAGGTCTCTCAAGATGGAAGCCTGGGCAGCCTCATAGATGAGACAGAATCACTATTTAAGACCAGAGAGCAGGAGTACCAGGAGACCATTGGCGCGATTGAGGTGAACAGGCGGTGTCTGTGGGGATGTGTGTGTGTATGCACCTGCTTACGTGCCTGTGTGTGTATACACTACCGTTCAAAAGTTTGGGGTCACTTAGAAATGTCCTTGTTTTCCATGAAAACATACATGAAATGAGTTTGAATAGGAAATATAGCTAAATGAATAGGAAATGTAGTCATTGACAAAGTTAGAAATAATGATTTTTAATTGAAATAATAATTGTGTCCTTCAAACTTTGCTTTTGTCAAAGAATCCTCCATTTGCAGCAATTATAGCCTTGCAGACCTTTGGCATTCTAGTTGTCAATTTGTTGAGGTAATCTGAAGAGATTTCACCCCATGCTTCCAGAAGCACCTTCCACAAGTTGGATTGGCTTGATGGGCACTTCTTACGGACCATACGGTCAAGCTGCTCCCACAACAGCTCAATAGGGTTGAGATCCGGTGACTGTGCTGGCCATTCCATAATAGACAGAATACCAGCTGACTGCTTCTTCCCTAAATAGTTATTGCATAGTTTGGAGCTGTGCTTTGGGTCATTGTCCTCTTGTAGGAGGAAATTGGCTCCAATCAAGTGCCGTCCACAGGGTATGGCATGGCGTTGCAAAATGGAGTGATAGCCTTCCTTCTTCAAGATCCCTTTTACCACCACCAAAGCACCCCCAGACCATCACATTGCCTCCACCATGCTTGACAGATGGCATCAAGCACTCCTCCAGCATCTTTTTATTTGGTCTGCGTCTCACAAATGTTCTTCTTTGTGATCTAAACACCTCAAACTTCAATTTGTCTGTCCATAACACTTTTTTCCAATCTTCCTCTGTCCAGTGTCTGTGTTCTTTTGCCCATCTTAATCTTTTCTTTTTATTGGCCAGTCTGAAATATGGCTTTTTCTTTGTAACTCTGCCTAGAAGGTCAGCATCCCGGAGTCGCCTCTTCACTGTTGACGTTGAGACTGGTGTTTTGCGGGTACTATTTAATGAAGCTGCCAGTTGAGGACCTGTGAGGCATCTGTTTCTCAAAATAGACACTAATGTATTTGTCCTCTTGCTCAGTTGTGCACTGGGGCCTCCCACTCCTCTTTCTATTCTGGTTAGAGCCAGTTTGTGCTGTTCTGTGAAGGGAGTAGTACACAGCGTTGTACAAGATCTTCAGTTTCTTGGCAATAGCCTTCATTTCTCAGAACAAGAATAGACTGACGAGTTTCAGAAGAAAGTTATTTGTTTGTGGCCATTTTGAGCCTGTAATCAAACCCAAAATTGCTGATGCTCCAGATACTCAACTAGTCTCAAGAAGGCCAGTTTTATTGCTTCTTTAATTAGCAAAACAGTTTTCAGCTGTGCTAACATAATTTCAAAAGGGTTTTCTAATGATCAATTAGCCTTTTAAAATGATAAACTTGGATTAGCAAACACAACGTGCCATTGGAACACAGGACTGATGGTTGCTGATAATGGGCCTCTGTACGCCTATGTAGATATTCCATTAAAAATCAGCCGTTTCTAGGTACAATAGCCATTTACAACATTAACAATGTCTACACTGTATTTCTGATCAATTTGATGTTATTTTAATGGACAAAAATATTGCTTTTCTTTCGAAAACAAGGACATTTCTAAGTGACCCCAAACTGTTGAACGGTAGTGTATGTGTGTATGAGAGAGAGAAGGTGACAGAAAGAGAGGTAGGGGCCTACATTTACAAAAATAGAGTGAGAATGAAATCCCCTGAGATTTATCTGCCTGTTAGAGATTGTCCTTGGGAAGATTTTCCTCTTATTGTATCTAATAGAAACACCTGTCAAGTAAAAGTACAGGGGAGGACGACTGCCTATGATTTGTTGGTTGTTTCGTCCCTCTCGCTGTTTGGTTTTGATTTGTGACTCGGGTGACGATTTGTCTGGCCAGAGTGATTCAGTCCCTGGCAGGGCTGACACCTGTCCCTGCTCAACATCACTGATGTCTCTTTCTCTCTCCTCCCTACCCTCTCTCTTCTGTCTTCCTTTCTCTCTCCTCCCTACCCTCTCTCTTCTGTCTTCCTTTCTCTCTCCTCCCTACCCTCTCTTTTCAGTCTTCCTTACTCTTTCCCCTTCTCTCTCTTTCTCTGGCTCCCTTTCACCTCTCCCCTCCTCTTCTCTCATCTCCTCTCTCTATCCATCTATCTCTCTCACTCTCTCCCTCCCTCTCCCCTTGCCCCTCTCTCTCCCTCTCAGATGGAGCTAGCCACAGCGAAGAGTGACATGAACAGACACCTGCATGAGTACATGGAGATGTGCAGCATGAAGCGTGGTCTGGACGTGCAGATGGAGACGTGCAGGAGGATGATCAAAGGGGGCAGGAACTCTCCCTCCGTCAGCTCGGTGGCCAGCAGCGACTCAGGGAACACTGACGAGATCCAGGACGAACTACTGGACAAGGACGGAGAGGCTGAGGTGCCAATCAGTTGATGGCCTGGCTCCACCCCCTTCCTTCCCTGCTCACTGACAGCTGCTCACAGAGCTCCACCCTGCTTGGGGGCTGACCCCAGTGTTCTGGCCTGTTTGGCATCTTTAGCCAAGGGGTATTGGTGGTCCTGATGGTCCTATGGTGGGTCTGGCCCACTGTCCCAGGCCCAGAACTGGTGCTTATTGTCTCTGTTCTCACAGGAATGGAGGGGACGAGGTTCCTTTGCTTCACAAGTGTTTTAAGGCAGAGGTGGCACATACAATATAGTGTCTGAGCTGTGCTCTCTTTCTCAGTGCTGCACAGGAACATCCAGCAAAACAATCAACATGATCAAACCAGTCGTACTGGCTCACTATTAGCATAGTCTAAACAGTTACACTGTCACCATTATCATTCTGTTGGCCTGAGGCGAACAGTCCATTTGGTGAACAGGGAACAACATACACAACATTATTCACCAGTGAGAATATCTATCATTTTGAGTTTTTTTTATAATCACACAGAAAATCACAGATCAAGAGCAGTCACACTATTTTGTACTTGCATGTTCCCCATAGATGCAGATTGATCATTCACATATACTGTACATGCAAATGTCCAATTGAGGATTGAAATGTTCTCACCAAAGTGTCAAAGCTAAAAAATGGTGACTGGACTCTACATGGTTACCAGTGTTGACTGGGGAACGGAGCACAGCCGTTTGCTGCAATAATGCATTGTTCACATTCTATGCAATTTAGCTAGCCTAATTTCAGGATGAACTTTAACCTTCATTACCCCTCTTTTCCCTCATGATTTGCCTTTTTAAGTTGGGCAGGTGTTTTATATCTGTCATTCAGAGTGCTCCTGTGTGTTCTCCAAAGTAGAAGAGCAATGGGAGGTGCAGATTTATCTCAAAGAAGGAAAATGTTTGAACAGTGACCCCCTAGTTTCATTTGTCAAAGGCATACCTTCTCCCCCTATCCATGTTAATTTAGAGGCCGTAAACATTTAAAAGATTATCCAAAACAATATGGAACAAGGTGCCAGCAAATATGCTGTTTTCGATTTGTATTGCCTTATGCTGATTACTATCATACTAAGCTTTTCCCTTAAATGTATCTGTTATGATTGGTAGAACTAAGTTCTTTATGGTCCCTTAGGCTACTCTTTGGTAAGTCCAAAGCAGTGGAGGCTGCTGAGGGGAGGACGGCTCATAATAATGGCTGGAACAGAGTGAATGGAATGGCATCAAACACATGGAAACCATGTGTTTGATGTATTTGATACTATTCCACCTATTCAGCTCCAGCCATTACCACGAGCCCGTTCTCCCCAATTAAGGTGCCACCAACTTCCTGTGGTCCAAAGAGCTTTTGAAAGTTATTGGTCATCTGTTTGTCCTCTGAGAGAGAGGGCACTGAAATGATATATTACATAAAACAATCACGTAAACAGGCAATACCATGAACATTGGTTGATGATACATTCCCTAACTTATTCACTGAAAAATGACTCAGATAAACTCAGATGGCCTCTCACAACAACTCCCACCCTTCTGTCCAGCAGGGTGCACTGTTCCTATCATATTCCATTGTCCCATTGTCATGTGCCCTGGATTGGGTTTAGAATTGTTTGTACATAGATAAGAGGGCTGTTGGCATGTGATCGTATACCCCAGATGCCTTTCTGTTCATATTGCTCTATGTGTAATGAATTTTGTTGTATTACATGCTGTCTAATGATTTTCATTTCATTAATCAATTAACAAAATTGATGAATGCATGGGGATTGGGAGAGGTTTTCTGCAAGTTATTTTTCAATTGGTTTATGAAATGTTGTTAGTTTGCAGAATCAAGGACAAAAGCTTTTGTATGATGAGGGTTTTAAGATGTAAAAATTAACAAATAATTACATTTGTCATTGCATTGTCTTTATGAGGGAAGAGGGGCTATTGTATTTGGTTGTTTCTCTGAATTATTTTACATTGAACTAGAGGCACATAGTGTTGCAATTCTCTATCATTTCTTAAATCAAAAGATACAGTATGTTCTTGTAGCTTTAAATGTGCCCATGATTTAATTGTGAGTGTTGAGGCATAAAATAAATATGATCTTCTTGTTTAACAATCATGGATGGTCAAAGTGTTACATTAGCCATTACTGATATGTACACTACATGACCAAAAGTATGTGGACACCTGCTTGTCGAACATCTCATTCCAAAATCATGGCCATTAATATGGAGTTGGTCCCCCCTTTGCTGCTATAACAGCCTCCACTCTTCTGGGAAGGCTTTCCACTAGATGGTGGAACATTGCTGGGGGGACTTGCTTCCATTCAGCCACAATAGTATTAGTGAGGTTGGGTACTGATGTTGGGCGATTAGGCCTGGCTCGCAGTCTGCGTTCCAAAGGTGTTCGATGGGATTGAGGTCAGGGCTCTGTGCAGGCCAGTCAAGTTTTTCCACACCGAGCTCGACAAACCATTTCTGTATGGACCTCGGTTTGTGCACGGGGGCATTGTCATGCTGAAACAGGAAAGGGCCTTCTCCAAACTGTGGCCACAAAGTTGGAAGCACAGAATCGTCTAGAATGTCTAGGAGGAATGTTGTCTAGAATTCCCCTTCACTGGAACTAAGGGGCCTAGCCCAAACCATGAAAAACAGCCCCAGACTATTATTCCTCCTACACCAAACTTTACAGTTGGCTCTATAAATTCGGGAAAGTAGCGTTCTCCTGGCATCCGCCAAATCCAGATTCGTCCGTCGGACTGCCAGATGGTGAAGCGTGATTCATACTCCAGAGAACGCATTTCCACTGCTCAAGAGTCCAATGGCGGCGAGCTTTACACCACTCCAGTCGACGCTTGGCATTGTGCATGGTGATCTTAGGCTTGTGTCATAGAAACCCATTTCATGAAGCTCCCGACGAACAGTTCTTGTGACGTTGCTTCCAGAGGCAGTTTTGGAACTCGGTAGTGAGTGTTGCAACCAAGGACAGGTGATTTTTACGCGCTACAAGCGTCAGCACTCGGCGGTCCCATTCTGTGAGCTTGTGTGGCCTACCACTTCGTGACTGAGCCGTTGTTGCTCCTAGACGTTTCCACTTCACAATAACAGCACTTAAAGTTGACCGGGGCAGCTCTTAACAAGGCAGAAATTTGACAAACTGACTTGTTTGAAAGGTGGCATCATATGATTGTGCCAGGTTGAAAGTCACTGAGCTCTTCAGTAAGGCCATTCTACTGCCAGTGTTTGTCTATGGAGATTGCATGGCAGTGTGCTCGATTTTATACACCTGTCAGCAACGGGTGTGGCTGAATTAGTCAAATCACAAATTTGAAGGGGTGTCCACATACTTTTGTATATATAGTGTATCTTCCATTGCTTTGTACCCTAACATACAGAGCTTGTTCCCTGTGTTCTAGAGAGGCAGAGGTAAGTCATCATCCCCTGTCAAGGTGGTCATGGAGGAAAGTACTGTCTTTGATGACCATTGACCTCATTGTATTTTCATACACATCACATAATGATGATGCTATTTCAAGCCTGCTGTTGTTAACTCAAATTATTTATTTCCCTGCATCTTTCTTTTTTCAATGCATACCTTGGTGCATTGTAAAATAAGATGTTATTTTTATGTAAACTATTAGTAAAACATTGCATTCATGGTGATTCAGGGTATGCTGTTGTTTGAAAAGAATGAATGTACACAGTAATTGGTGTTGGGGGAAAGTGAAATAAAATTGTGTATTGCCTTTAGCTTGTGTCTTTGTTGTCCTCTAGATATGTATCATGTTTAATTATACATATTACAAAATGTTTGATCTGTATGTGAACTGCACCCACCTCATACCCTCTCCTCTACATTCTCCTGTGCTAAAGTAACAAGTTGAAGATTGATTCATATTGCCTAATAACAATGATGTCGAAGAAATCTGATAGATTGATAGATAGAAAGACATACAGTGCCTTCAGAAAGTATTCACACACCCTGACTTTTTCCACATTTTGTTGTGTTACAGCCTGAATTTAAAATGTATTATATTTAGATTTTTTTGTCACTGGTTTACACACAATACCCCATAATCTCAAAGTGGAATTATGTTTTTCGAAATGTTTACAAATGAATTAAAAATGAAAAGCTGAAATGTCTTGAGTCAATAAGTATTCAACCCCTTTGTTATGGCAAGCCTAAATCATTTCTAAAAAAATAAATAAACCAGACATTGATATCCCTTTGAGCATGGTAAAGTTATTAATTACACTTTGGATGGTGTATCAATATACCCAGTCACTACGAAGATACAGGTGTCCTTCCTAACTCAGTTGCCAGGGAGGAAGGAAAACGCTCAGGGATTTCACCATGAGGCCAATGGTGACTTTAAAACAGTTTAATGCCTGTGATAGGAGAAAACTGAGGATGGATAAACAACATTGTAGTTACTCCACAATAGTAACCTAATTGACAGAGTGAAAATAAGGAAGTCTGTACAGAATAAAAATATTCCAAAACATGCATCCTGTTTGCAACAAGGCACTAAAGTAATACTGCAAACAATGTGGCAAAGCAATTAACTTTTTGGCCTAAATACAAAGTGTTATGTTTGGGGCAAATCCAATACAATAGATTACTGAGTATCACTCACCATATTATCAAGCATAGTGGTGGCTGCCTCATGTTATGGGTATGCTTTTAATTGTTAAGGACTAGGGAGTTTTTCAGAAGACACGGAATGGAGCTAAGCACAGGCAAAATCCTAGAGGAAAACATGGTTCAGTCTGCTTTCCACCAGACACTGAGAGATGAATTCACCTTTCAGCAGGACCATAACCTAAAACACAAGGCCAAATCTACATTTGAGTTGCTTACCAAGAAAACAGTGAATGTTCCTGAGTGGCCGAGTTACAATTTTGACTTAAATTTACTTGAAGATATATGGCAAGACTTGAAAATGCTTGTCTAGCAATGATCAACAACCAATTTGACAGAGCTTGAAGAATTTTGAAAAGAATAATGGGCAAATGTTACACAATCCAGGTGTGGAAATCTGTAATCACTGCTAAAGGTGCTTCTACAAAGTATTTATTCAGGGTGTGAATACTTATGTAAATTAGATATTTATATATTTCATTTAAAATACATTCATTATGGGGTATTGTGTGTAGATGGGTGAGAAAAAATCTATTTAATCAATTTTGAATTCAGGCTGTAACACAACAAAATGTGGAATATTCAAGGGGTATGAATACTTTTTTAAGGCACTGTAGATATACTGAACAAAAATATAAATGCAACATGCAACAGTTTCAAAGACTTTACTGAGTTACAGTTCATATAAGGAAATCAGTCAATTTTATCAAATTAATTAGGCCTTAATCTATGGATTTCACGACTGGGAATACAGATATGCATCTGTTGGTCACAGATACCTTTTTTAAAAGGTAGGGGTGTGGATCAGAAAACCAGCCTGTAGCTGGTGTGACCACCATTTTCCTCATGCAGCGCAACACAGCTCCTTTGCATAGAGTTGATCTGGTTGTTGATTGTGGCCTGTGGAATGTTGTCCCACTCTTCTTCAATGGCTGTGCGAAGTTGCTGGATATTGGCAGGGAACTGGAACAGGCTGTTGTACACGTCGATCCAGAGCATCCCAAACATGCTCAATGGGTGACATGTCTGGTGAGTGTGCAGGCCATGGAAGAACTGGGACATTTTCAGCTTCCAGGAATTGTGTACAGATCCTTGCTACATGGGGCTGCGCATTATCTCTCTGAAACATGAGGTGATGGCGGCAGATGAATGGCACGACAATGGGCCTCTGTGCATTCAAATTGGCATCAATAAAATGCAGTTGTGTTTCGTTGTCAGTAGCTTATGCCTTCCCTTACCATAACCCCACCGCCACCATGGGGCACTCTGTTCAGCAAACCACTCGCCCACACGACGCCACACACCTGGTCTGCGGTTGTGAGGCTGGTTGGAACATTTCTGCAATCTTTTATTTCAGCTCATGAAACATGGGAGCAACACTATATGTTGCGTTTATATTTTTGTTCAGTGTAGATAGAAAGGAGAGGCAGCAACAGTAGGCTATACATTATCTGACAGTTACATTCGTCACAATGAAAGTCTACTAGGTTACGTGGGAAAATCAGTAATTGTGCAAAAGATAAGCGGGGCATTACTTCAAAGAGAAACGATGATCGCTACACATTTGCTCTGTCAAAAATAGAATTTCTCTATTCAGAAATGACAGCCCTATACTGTGATTGGCTGGAGATGCCTTCTTAGCGCTGAATGGCCACTCTCAGACTCGCCCTCTTTGCCTCCAGTAAGGCAATGAGAGGTGTGTTTAGCAATTCTTCTTTCTTTGAAATATTAACAATTAGGATTTTAAAATAGTTTCACAGTGTAAATATTAAGATGAAATGATGTAATTTCTGTTTAGATACAATACTGTGAATTACTGTGATAATTTAGACGCAATTATGGTAATGTAATGAATGTGGCCTCCCTATCGAATATTGGTACGGGCCGAATCCTCTGAACTCGCCATACATGTAACCAGTAGGCTACGTTCTCAAGATATCAAATAGCTTCCAAGTTTCTTATCAGTTCTGATACATTGTGTCGGCTGCCTGTAGTGGTCTTATAAGGGTGTGTTTTTATTAGATTGTCCTTTTTTCTCTACATATTTTTCATTGAAAAATGCTGCGTGTGAGATCTGCATTCTGTCAGTCTTGGAGGGGGTACGTAATTTTACATGAACATACACGAGACCAACTCACCTTAGCTTTGACTTTTCGTAACCAAGCTAATGCAATTTGCATTATTTTGGAAGCTGATAGTGTATTTATGATTGTTGCTCTACCTAACTGTTTTTTTGCCACACTGTAGTTAGAACTGTGCAAGTAGAACAACAACAATAATAAGCTGCTGCAATGCTAAATGTGTTAAGTCATGATTTTCCCTGCCAGCCACCTTTCCCTGCCAGCCACCAGACCCTTTCAATGTGAAGGGCAAGCTAAATAAGTTTAAATAAGTAATTTATGATTTAGTCTTATGATTACCATGATTCCAAGCCGCATGCGTAAAGTTAACAGTTCATAGAAATACTATTCACTCAACAATCAGCAAGTGAATGATTCACCCTGGGCAGATAGAGATAGAAAGAGCACTCATCTTTTTATCTGTTCTATTATAGCGTATGTGACATTTACATAATTTAGCAGACGCTCTTATCCAGAGCGACTTACAAATTGGTGCATTCAATTTATGATAGCCAGTGGGACAACCACTTAAAAAAAATAAAAATAATTACCGGTATGTACAGCATGGGCAGTGCTATGGAGGCTATATTACATTTACATTTTAGTCATTTAGCAGACGTTCTTATCCAGAGCGACTTACAGTTAGTGAGTGCATACATTTTTCATACTATATCCTTTTTAAAGTAGTCAATTTTCATCTTCTTCATTGGCTGATTGCTCCACACCCATAGGAATCCCCACCCAGTTGACTACTTAAAAATGGTGGAAGCCCTCCATGCCAATGTTCATGCTAAAACGGTTATATCCATAATGAGTTCTCTATCTATCTTTATGACTGGGCATGACTTGGACTAAAAACCTGAAGTGGCACTGGCAACTGGTGTTATGCAAGAAATCAAATGGACTGAAGACACCCATATGGGCAAGCCAGCTGCATGAATGTTTATTTATGCAGTTACCATTGGTAAAACATTTATAGCGAAACCTTGAATCTCTTTAGAGGTCTATTGTCTTTTCTGTGGGGTGAGGAAGATCAATAAACACTATGAAGGCTGTGTTGTACACCAGGTCACCCATTGACAGAGAAGCATCTGTGTAAATGTGGGAAGGCAGTTGGCTAATCATATTTAATCGATTCCATGTGTCCGGGGAGTTGAGGGTCTTTTTTGAATATTTGAATACGAGCCCCTGTCTGCCCAGTTAGACAATCTGGCCTTCACTGACTATTTAAACTAGAGTAGATAATCATTTTTGAGGCAGAGCATGCACAATCACCAGAAGTTTAGCAGTGTTATAACTTTTCCACAAAGAAATTAGACACAGACAGCTGACACACAGAGAATAGTGAAATATCAAATAAGCATGAATTGCTTATTGCAATTGCTTGCTGATGTTAGGTGTCTTGCTTTTTAGAGTTTTTACTTATGCAAAATGGTCTCATCTTTTATGCATGACTCGCTTTATCTAAGTCTTTATGCTATAAAAACTAGTCATAAAAGAATAACTGATGTGAGATAAGTTACTTATTCCAGCTGACAGAAGACTGCAGCTTGCCCAAATCTAGCAGTGAAGAGGCAGGACAGAACCAATCTGAGATGCACCTGTATACGCATCAAAAGACAGAGTTGAATATCGCACCATGACCACAATCTACATGGCCAGTAAAGTCTTATTCAGATCAACAGCATTTGGACTGAATGGCATTCATTCTCTTCCATAACCACGTTGTTAAGTTTCATATTATTCAAAACAAAGCTGTAAAAGAGCAGGCTTAAATACCTGCAGAAAATGTTATGGAGGGTGAAGTGAATGAATGGCTGGTAGGCAACCTCAGGTGTAAGGCTGTAACGCATTGATGAACAAATGCTTCACTTTGCACCATGAGGATGAGACAGTCTCAGATTTTGGGATATAATGTATGTGGGGGATATCTGCTGCTGCATGTCTGTCTGTCTTCACTTAGTGTGCATTGGTCTATCCTAACATGTGTGTCTCTGTGTGCAGGTTCAGGACCTTCCCCTGTGCAGCTGTTGAGGTGAAGAATGAGCCCATCCTGGGATTCAATGAGGGCAGTGCAGAGAGGGCCAATCTGCAGAAGGTACATACACACACACACACAATCATACACAGCACACACTCTCAAGCAAACATAACCACCACATGCACCATTCCATATGCCCTTCTTGACCTACAACAAGGTAATCTCTATAAAAGATGAGACTCAATAATGTTGTGTGTGTGATAGGCCCTGGATGACCTGAATGGGAAGACTGAGGAGATTCCCTGTGTGGTTGGAGACGAACGTGTGTGGACCAAAGACATCAGATACCAGCTATCGGTGAGTGGAGTCAACAGCATGTCCCTAATCTGAGCAAACTATTGCTCCATGCTGCCTGCAAATATGGGAGCCTGGAGACTGAAGCTCTCACTTTTACCCTCACACTGCTGCTCAGATACACAGCATATGGCCTAATCCAAATGGAAACTTTCAAGGCCTGTCAAGTTCAACTGTAAATGACTGTAATAACATTGTGTTATCAGCCGGTTTCTAATAACATCCATCATAAATCAACATGCTACAGTTGAAGTCAGAAGTTTACATACACTTAGGTTGGAGTCATTAATACCAGTTTTTCAACCACTCCACACATTTCTTGTTAACAAACTATAGTTTTGGCAAGTCGGTTAGGACATCTACTTTGTGCATGACACAAGTAATTTTTCCAACAATTGTTTACAGACAGAATATTTCACTTATAATTCACTGTATCACAATTCCAGTGGGTCAGAAGTTTACATACACTAAGTTGACTGTGCCTTTAAACAGCTTGGAAAATTCCAGAAAATGATGTCATGGCTTTAGAAGCTTCTGATAGGCTAATTGACATCATTTGAGTCAATTAGAGGTGTACCTGTGGATGTATTTCAAGGCCTACCTTCAAACTCAGTGCCCCATTGCTTGACATCATGGGGAAATCAAAATAAATCAGCCAAGACCTCAGAAAAAAATGTGTAGACCTCCACAAGTCTGGTTCATCTTTGGGAGCAATTTCCAAACGCCTGAAGGTACCACGATCATCTGTACAAATAATAGTACGCAAGTATAAACACCATGAGACCACGCAGCAGTCATACCGCTCAGGAAGGAGACGCGTTCTGTCTCCTAGAGATGAACATACTTTGGTGCGAAAAGTGCAAATCAATCCCAGAACAACAGCAAAGGACCTTGTGAAGATGCTGGAGGTAACAGGTACAAAAGTATCTATATCCACAGTAAAATGAGTCCTATATCGACATAACCTGAGAGGCCACTCAGCAAGGAAGAAGCCACTGCTCCAAAACCGCCATAAGAAAGCCAGACTACGGTTTCCGACTGCACATGGGGACAAAGATCGTACTTTTTGGAGAAATGTCCTCTGGTCTGATGAAACAGAAATATAACTGTTTGGCCATAATGACCATCATTATGTTTGGAGGAAAAAGGGGGGAGGGCTTGCAAAACGAAGAACACCATCCCAACTGTGAAGCACAGGGGTGGCAGCATCATGCTGTGGGGGTGCTTTGCTGCAGGAGGGACTGGTGCACTTCACAAAATAGATGGCATCATGAGGCAGGAAAATTATGTGGATATATTGAAGCAACATCTCAAGACATCAGTCAGGAAGTTAAAGCTTGGTCGCAAATGGGTCTTCGAAATGGACAATGACCCCAAGCATACTTCCAAAGTTGTGGCAAAATGGCTTAAGGGGACAACAAAGTCAAGGTATTAGAGTGGCCATCACAAAGCCCTGACCGCGTTTGCAACGCCAGGGTTGTGGGTTCGATTCCCACGGGGGGCCAGTATGAAAAAAATATATTAAAAAAAATAATGAATGCACTCACTAACTGTAAGTTGCTCTGGATAAGAGCGTCTGCTAAATGACTAAAATGTAAATGTAATGCTAAATGAGTCAAATGTAAATTTTGACCGACCAATACCACACTGTCTTTAAATGTTATTTCTTGAAAGTAATATTTCCTATTAATTAATATAATTCTTTATTTTCTTTTTGAAAGCCCTTCAACCACTCACACAAACTGGCCAAGTTTTGCTATGCTGACAAGGTAAACTAAGAGTACAATTCTTTTGTTTTTAATGTATCAGACATTCACCAAGATTTACATAACCTGACTGGATGGTGTTGCCTCTGTATGATTGATACAGGACCTGCTCAACAAGGCTATCTTGGCCTCTGTGGCGGCGCGGAGGGAATGGGACCTGAAACCCATCCAGGACCGAGCCCAGGTCCTCTTTAAGGCTGCTGACATCATCAGTGGACCTAAGAGAGCTGAGATTCTGGCCAAGACCATGATAGGCCAGGTACAGTGAAGTACTATATTTAGTCTAGATGTTGTTTTAATAATCCTATGATTGTATGGCTGAATATCAAGTGGATCTCCTCTCAGTTCTCTATTTCATGTGATATTCATCCCATAAGCTCTCTATTTCATTTTTTTTAGTTATTATTTGACTGGGGGAACAATCTCATTTACAACAACGACCTGGGGAATAGTTACAGGGGAGAGGAGGGTGGATGAATGAGCCAATTGATCGAGCCAATTTTTCCTGCTTTGTTTTCTAGGGCAAAACAGTGGTGCAGGCAGAGATTGATGCAGCTGCAGAGCTAATAGACTTCTTCCGGTTCAATGCGAAGCACGCTGTTGAACTGGAGAGCCACCAGCCCCTGGACAGTGATGGTAGCACCAACACCATGCTCTACCGTGGGCTGGAGGTGAGCACTCCCTGGTCCTAGCATCATCTAAACTTGGTAATAGTCACAGATAAAAGCCTGTATACTTGGGTATATGTTAGGAATTGTTTTTGTCAACACTTTTATTTCCCCTTTAACTATAGGGTTTTGTAGCTGCTGTTGCCCCGTTTAACTTCACTGCAATTGGTGGAAACCTGGCAGGTACTCCTGCTCTCATGGTAAGTGTTCCCCTACTAACAACAATATCCAAATGTCCTTATAGTTCTAATTTATTTCACATTTAGATCCTGATGTGTGTTGTTGGTTATAGTCTGAACTGGACTTTCTTTGTTTTGCCCCGTCTGTGATTGTCAGGGTAATGTAGTTCTGTGGAAGCCTAGTGACACAGCCATGTCAGCTAGCTACGCCGTCTACAATGTCCTCCGGGAGTCAGGGTTGCCCCCCAACATCATCCAGTTTGTGCCAGCCGATGGACCAGTGTTTGGAGACACCGTCACCTCCTCTGAACACCTTGCTGGCATCAATTTCACTGGCAGTGTCCCGTATGTGTTTATCTCTATATGTTTAAGCATACCTAAAACTGATTGCCACTTTTGGTACATAATACCAAATCTGTACCACATTGTTTTTAATAACTTCAATGGAAGTTAACAACCCTGGAGTCTCTTAACAACCCATTTCTGTTTCAGGACCTTCAAGCGCCTGTGGAAACAGGTGGCCCAGAACCTGGATATCTACAAGAACTTTCCTCGGGTGGCAGGAGGTGGGTTGGACCAACAGCCTGTACACCATAGAGATAAAAATATATATTGTACACCACCACACTGTCAAGTTATTAAACGTATTGAATATTAAACAAGATAATATTGACCATACTCATCGTATATCTATACTCCACTCCATATTTATTTAGACAGTGAAGCTCAAATTTGTACATTTGGCTCTATACTCCAGCATTTTGGATTTGAGATCAAATGTTTCATTAGGCGACAGCACAGAATGTCACCTTTTTTATTTGAGGGTATTTTTATACATATCGGTTTTACCGTTTCTAAATGATATCTGTTTTACCGTTTCTACACTTTATGTATCTTGTCCCCCCATTTGAATAAGTTATTTTATTCCATAAGTATTTGGACAAATTCACATATAGTGTATTAAAGTAGTCAAAAGTTTGGTCCCATATTCCTAGCACGCAATGACTACATCAAGCTTGTGACTCTAGAAACTTGTTGGATGCATTTGCAGTTTGTTTTGGTTGTGTTTCAGATTATGTTTTGCCAATAGGAACTAAATGGTGAAAAATGTATTGTGTCATTTTGGAGTCACTTTTATTGTAAATAAGAATATAATATGTTTCTGAACACTTCTACATTAATGTGGATTCTACCATGGATAATCATGAATGAATCGTGATTGAGAAAGTTACAGAGGAACTAAGATCATACCCCCCCAAAAATGCTAACCTCCCCTGTTATTGGTAATGATGAGAGGGGGGGTGATCTTTGTTCCTCTGTAATTTTCTCACTCATCATTATTCACTATTCATTCATGATTAACCATAATTTTTTATTATAAAAGTTACTCCAAAATGACACACTACATTATTCACCATTCAGTTGTATTGGGCAAAACATAATTCGAAAAACAACCAAAACAAACTGCAAATGCATCCAACAAGTTTATGGAGTCACAAGCTTGATGTAGTCATTGTGTGCTAAAAAATATGGACCAAATACTAAACTTTTGAGTACTTTAATACATTATAAGTATTTATGAAACAAATTACGTATTCAAATGGGGGGACTAGAAACATAAAGCGCTTTCATTTTTAAATGGTAGGACAGATACTGTATGTTTGAAAATACCTTCAAATAAAAGGTGACATTCAGTACTGTTGCCTCATTCAAAACATTTGATCTGAAATCCAAAATGCTGGAGAATAGAGCCACATTTACTCATTTTAGCTTCACTGTCCAAATAAAGAGTGTATATCACTCTTTGAAAACTGCCTCACCGACGTCCTCCTCTGCCATACCTTTCAGAATGCGGTGGTAAGAACTTCCACTTTGTGCACAAGTCAGCAGATGTGCAGAGTGTCGTGACAGGTACCATCCGCTCAGCGTTTGAGTATGGAGGGCAGAAGTGCTCGGCCTGCTCCAGGATGTATGTACCTGACTCTCTGTGGCCCCAGATCAAACAGGGGCTCCTGGACATCCACAAGCAGCTCAAAGTGGGAGACGTGAGTGGACAACTGACCTTAGCTTCTAGGACTGATGGATTCATCAGTCACTTTGGCACTAGGGTTATTTTGGTGGGAATACTTACAGCCAGTTGACTTGTGCTCCAATAGGAGATATTTGAAAGCGTTGAAGTTTATACTGTAAGTGTTAATTTGATGTCAGGTTGTTGTAACTCTCTCCATGATTCCCCTGTCCAGCCCGTGGAGGACTGGAGTACATTCTTCTCTGCTGTGATTGATGACAAGGTACAGTACTGTGAGATTTGCCACACTGGATGCTTGATCAGAACCAGCTATATTACTTCTGATCAATAGTTATTTTATTTTCAAGATTATTTTACATTTGATGACTATTTTTATATATTATTTATTTTTGTCTCAGTCCTTTGCTCGCATTAAGAAGTGGTTGGACCATGCCAAGTCTTCCCCTAAGTTAAACATAATTGCTGGGGGCCACTGTGATGACAAGAAGGGTTACTTTGTGGAGCCCACCATCATTGAGAGCACAGACCCACAGGAAGCCATCATGGCGGAGGTAAGACTCGATATTCTTGATAAGTAGTTATGTAGTTATTGTAGATCACCTCTTTACTCACCACTGTTAGCCTATGGAACTTCATACTGTGATTCCAGTTTAAAGATCTTAGAATAAAGATCTGCGAACCATGTGTGTTCTCACTTTAAACCAACCTGCAAGAGTTATACCAGACATGCATACATGTCATAATCACATGAGACATAGTCAGTTGGGTCTGAATTGCTGAAACTGACTGACTTTATTCTAGCCTGTTAGATATGGTTGTTTTATGGAGAAAATAAGCAGGATTATTTTATCCGTTTTAACTGAGATGCCTGCGATCAGGCTCAGGGCCAAGTGCTTAGATTACCCATATAAACATGTATAAAGTGATGTATGGAATGGACACCATGTTTGTTTAACTAAAGCCATGCTTCACAGACTGTGAACCCCAAGGCATTTTTAACTCAAAAAGTTCTAGTAAGTTGAACTCAGTCAATGAAAAGTCATTATTAGTTCAAATGTTTGTGGTACTGACTCAAAACTAAATGAGTTATCACATCAACTCAATTTTTTAAGTGAATGATAACAAATGAACTTTTTTCCCAGCATGCTCTACTGCAGGTTGATAAAACAAATAAAAATAATAATCTGTTTTTTTGCATGTACATTGAGTGATTGATTGATTTAATCTTATGCTACACAAAGATAAATAACTAAACTGATCCAATCATTTAGTTCGATTTTTTGCACCCGTTACTGAAATGGTTGTTCCGGTTTAAATGGTTTAGGTAGTCTCCTAAACTGTTCCTAACCCTGGCAGTCACTATGAATGCAGGATGCAGGTGAATAAACATTTCAACTGTTGGATATCCTAACTCTGGCTGGATTCCAATAGGAATGACACATAACTTTGGATGGCAACATAATGTGACTTGCAGTTAGGGTTTCAAAATTCTGGTAAATTTCCCAGGTTTTCCAGAAATCCGGGTTGGAAGATTCCTGGATATCCTTCAACCAGGATCTTTTTTAAATCTGGGAATTTGGGGAAAGTTACTGGAATTTTGCACCACACTTTCAGGCCTGATGTGGCCTGTAAACCATGAGTTTCAGGCCACTGAGTAAGGGTAAAGCTAGGCCTCAAAATAAAGCCTTATGAGATATGTAATGTATTGTCATAAGGAGTGAATTATGATGATAATATTCACCTAGGAACTCACTTGGTGTAGGCCACAGGACAGAAAATGAACGAATTCAATAACCATGTCTCTGTCATGGGTGGTAACTTTACAATTCACTCGAAAAAGCAAAGCACACTGGGAAATTATATAGGAGGCGTGTTCAAGCTGATACAGCTACATTCTGGACCCCCTACAGGTTCACAGTGACTATCGGTTTGAGAAATGACTACAAAATCACTATAAGTAACTGTACTCATATATTAAGTGCAACAGGTTTCCTCAAAGGTTTTTAGTAATGACAGCACATTGGGGTTTACAGTGCACTCTGCTTCACAAATGGGGGGTCAGTCCTCCTTAATTGAGATCAGCTCAGTTAATATGGAACTTTATAACAACTCTGTTATAACTCTGTTCTGGATGAACTCCTGTAGGAAATCTTTGGGCCAGTTCTGTCTGTCTATGTTTACCCTGAGAACGACTACCTGGAAGTTCTGCACCTGATAGACAACACATCACCATATGCCCTGACAGGAGCTGTCTTTGCTCTCGATAAGTAAGTTAGATTCCTTCAGCTGGTTTGCTATGGAGTGTCAGTATTGATGTGAAAAGAAAGAAAGAACGTAATACAGTTTTACATACGTACAAATATTATGAATCCAAAGCCTACTTTGATCAGCTCATTGATAATAGATGTTGCTTTGCACTGAAAGAGTGACATTAGTCCAACAAAAAAAACTCCTAACCCGTTAGTAATGTTTTTGTTCTAGGAATGTTGTGGATGAGGCAGCCAAGGCCTTGCGGAATGCTGCAGGAAATTACTACGTGAACGATAAATCCACTGGCTCTATTGTCGCCCAGCAACCATTTGGTGGCGCCAGAGCTTCAGGTAAGATGGCCCACACACCAATCCACAGCTCATTGTTATGCATATGACTGCCAACAGTTCTATAAATCAGGACTTCTCATTACTCCTGGTTTGCTCTTTATGTCTGACATGGACACTTCTGTCAAATGGGTACATAATCTTTATTGATATGAATCAAACAATAATACCTAAAACATGAACTTTTGTCTACAAAGGTACTAATGACAAACCTGGTGGTCCTCACTACGTACTGCGATGGACGTCCCCACAGGTGGTCAAGGCCACCCATGTCCCGCTCCGAGAATGGAAGTACCCCTATATGGGTTAAAAAGACAGTACTGTACCCCTCCTCACCTACCTAGGCCTCCTTCATCCAATCCTAGTTATGTAGAGGAATCTGTAGGCTTTTTCTCCGCTCCCGCTCGCCAGACGGACAATGAAATGAAGAGAAAAATCCTCTCCTTACTCGTCAAACTTTTGTCCCTTTTTGCCCTTATAAGTATGCACTGAATCTATACCCGAGTACGAATGTAATTATTAGCTGTTCTAAATTGAAAAGGGGGCGCAACATGAGATCAGCAGGAGCTGCAGCTGACCCAGTCAAGCTGCCTGCTAGCTGTACAGAAGAATGGCACTATGAAAACGTCCCATGGATCCACAGACATAGTAAAACTGTGTGGTCTACCATTGATTCCACAGACATGTAATAATCAATCATCTGTTTGTAATCAAATGGCTGCTATGTGCTTCTGAGCCTCTGTTTGACGATCTCAGTACTGACTGGTCCTGAGGTGTAGGCTACTCACTGTTAAGTTGTCTCCACCTGTCCTATCCTGAGGAAAGTATTCAAAGAGTTGTTAAGCATCATAGACTTTTTGAGAGGAATATTTGTTTTTTTAAATACAAAACTGACTATGTATTATAAGAATTAACTGACCGTCTATCATCTTAACATCCTTTGACAAAAACAGTAAGCCTGAGTTTCGACCATGAATATTTCATGACAGCTAAAGTTCAAGTATCAAAATGCAATGTTTATAATTGTAAGCATTCGTGATGGCAAAAAGAGGGAAGAATGGTTATCTACCGTTTTTGGTGCTAAAAATGTCCTTACTAACAGTCCTTAACCTATACTCAGTTCCTAGCTGTGTTATGATTTATTTGCTGTATTGTCACACTGGTACTCAGCCTCCTGACTGTCTCTGATAGGAAAGGTGATGTACTTGACTTGTTACACTTGAGCTATGGCTGGTCTTAAAAGATGTGGCTATGATCAAATTTATTTATAAAGCTGTTTTTACATCAGCAGTGCTTATACAGAAATCCAGCCTAAAACCCCAAAGAGCAAGCAATGCAGATGTAAAGCACAGTAGCTAGGAACAACTCCCTAGAAAGGCAGGAGCCTAGGAAGAAACAGGCTCTGAGGGGTGGTCAGTCCTCTTCTTGCTGAGAGAGAGAGAGAGAGAGAGAGAGAAAAAAACACACACACACAAAACACCTACCTACCAGGTGTACTGGGACAGCTAGGAGTCGTCAGGTCCTCTGGGAGGTGGAAGAAAAATACATTTAGACTGAGCATGACAGCCTGGTCTCATAGACTACACGTAACATTGTAAATGTAAATCTGCCATTCAAATTATTATGTTTGGTATGGTTACTTCAGTCAGAAATGAAAGTTGGTTGGCCGGGCATATAACGCAAATGTCTAGCAACCCAAAGGTTGCGAGTTTGAATCTCATGGACAACTTTAGCATTTTAGCTAATCTGCAACTTTTCAACTACTTTTTAGCTACTTTGCAACTACTTAGCATGTTAGCTAACCTTAACCCTTTTAGCTAAACCTTTAACCTAACTTCTAAAGTTAACACTAGCTAATGTTAGCCACCTAGCTAGAATTTGTAACATATCATCATATTATTATATGTTTTGAAAATTCATAACATATTGTACGTTTTGCAAATTCGTAACATATAAGATGAATTGTAAATCTTAACATATCATACAAAATGGGTGATGGACATCCACAAATTAATACATACCATACAAAACATAACATATACTAAATGGAGTGTTCGGATTTATGTAAAGAATATTACAAAATGCTCTGAGACCAGATTGAGCATGAGGGTGCTGTTACCTTTTTACTTAAACCCCACTTTGCCATCTAATCATGTTTACCTCAGCAACTGCACACTTACTGTTATTTTCCAATTGTGGAATATTCTACTGAGCATTTGCAAAAAATTATGAAGAGCTAATTGCTTCAACTGCATGTAATTGCTCAGTTAAATCTCAATTTCATGCCGTCTTTATTGTTTTGAAAACAATTTGAGGGGAATATACTGTATTTTCATAAAATGTATTTTGTATTTTAATATTTTTCTGTTAAATGCTAATAGAAATGATTAGTCTTCGAATGTGCCTGTATTGGTAATAATAGAGTGACCTTTATTCAATTTATAAAATGCTAATTAAATTATTTCAGAAATTATATTAACCTTTTGTGTTTAATGTCATATTTTTGTTTCTGAATGTGGCTTGCTTGTATCCATACCCTGTCGTTATTGAGACTGACTCATTTTTAAGTTGATGGTGTTTCTCCAGTTTCTAACCCATTCTAAACATTGTATGTTTGAGCTACAGACTTCATGTACCATTGGAATCCTCTATTTCTTCTGCAGCCATCGATACCAACCATTCATCTGTGTGATTAACGGGGGCTGAGCTAGGGCGGTGTTTGTGACACTAGGGCGCATCCCGAAGGTGGCCGGGTCTTTTTACAAAAATGTCTGTAGGGTCCAAATGGTTTGAGCTACGAACTCCTATAAGCTATACAAGTTATCTATGAAAGGTTGGGACTCTAACAAACACACACTTGTAACATGTTTTGCTCTAAAACGAGTCATTAGAAGGTAAGGGGTTCTTCTACATAGAAGATCATAGGAAATCCCAGGACATGGTGTCTATAATACTGTAATAAGGTCACATAGTTGCTGTCACAAACTCCAAACTCCATACAGTTGTCACTGACTAGTTGAATATTCATTTCCCATTGAGCAAACAATTTCTGTACTTACAGCATTCATATTAATTCATTTTTACCAGGTTTTGCTTTGGTGGACCAAATTTTTTTGACATTTGTCAAAACTCATGAATGCAACTAATTTATGTCAAATTGTTTTGTGTTCTACTTGTAGCACTGGTTGTCCTGAAAAGAAAATGGACAACCACTTCATTGTGAGGCTAAATAGAGTGGGGAGAACAAGTATTTGATACACTGCCGATTTTGCAGGTTTTCCTACTTACAAAGCATGTAGAGGTCTGTCATTTTTATCATAGGTACACTTCAACTGTGAGAGACGGAATCTAAAACAAAAATCCAGATAATCACATGGTAGGATTTTTAAGTAATTAATTTGCATTTTATTGCATGACATAAGTATTTGATCACCTACCAACCAGTAAGAATTCCGGCTCTCACAGACCTGTTCGTTTTTCCAAACACACCAAGACAGTCGTGAAGAGGGCACAACAAAGCCTATTCCCCCTCAGGAGACTGAAAAGATTTGGCATGGGTCCTCAGATCCTCAAAAAATGCTACAGCTGCACCATCGAGAGCATCCTGACTGGTTGCATCACCGCCTGGTATGGCAACTGCTTGGCCTCCGACCGCAAGGCACTACAGAGGGTAGTGCGTATGGCCCAGTACATCACTGGGGCCAAGCTTCCTGCCATCCAGGACCTCTATACCAGGCGGTGTCAGAGGAAGGCCCTCAAAATTGTCAAAGACTCCAGCCACCCTAGTCATAGACTGTTCTCTCTGCTACCGCATGGCAAGCGGTACCGGAGTGCCAAGTCTAGGTCCAAAAGACTTCTCAACAGCTTCTACCCCTAAGCCATAAGACTCCTGAACAGCTAATCATGGCTACCCGGACTATTTGCACTGCCTCCCCACCCCATCCTTTTACGCTGCTGCTACTCTGTTAATTATTTATGCATAGTCACTTTAACTCTACCCACATGTACATATTACTTCAACTACCTCAACTAGCCGGTGCCCCCGCACATTGACTCTGCACCGGTACCCCCCTGTATATATAGCCTCCCTACTGTTATTTTATTTTACTTCTGCTCTTTTTTTCTCAACACTTTTTTTTGTTGTTGTTTTATTTTTACTTTTTTGTTTAAAATAAATGCACTGTTGGTTAAGGGCTGTAAGTAAGCATTTCACTGTAATGTCTGCACCTGTTGTATTCGGCGCATGTGGCCAATAAAATTAGATTTGATTTGATTTGATTTGATTCTTTAAGAATCCCTCCTGTTCTCCACTCATTACCTGTATTAACTGCACCTGTTTGAACTCGTTACCTGTATAAAAGACACCTGTCCACACACTCAATCAAACAGACTCCAACCTCTCCACAATGGCCAAGACCAGAGAGCTGTGTAAGGACATCAGGGATAAAATTGTAGACCTGCACAAGGCTGGGATGGACTACATGACAATAGGCAAGCAGTTAAGCAGTTTGGTGAGAAGGCAACAACTGTTGGTGCAATTATTAGATAATGGAAGAAGTTCAAGATGACGGTCAATCACCCTCGGTCTGGGGCTTCATACAAGATCTCACCTCGTGGGGCATCAATGATCATGAGGAAGGTGAGGGATCAGCCCAGAACTACACGGCAGGACCTGGTCAATGACCTGAAGAGAGCTGGGACCACAGTCTCAAAGAAAACCATTAGTAACACACTACGCCGTCATGGATTAAAATCCTGCAGCGCACGCAAGGTCCCCCTGCTCAAGCCAGCGCATGTCCAGGGCCGTCTGAAGTTTGCCAATGACCATCTGGATGATCCAGAGGAGGAATGGGAGATGGTCATGTGGTCTGATGAGACAAAAATAGAGCTTTTTGGTCTAAACTCCACTCGCCGTGTTTGGAGGAAGAAGAAGGATGAGTACAACCCCAAGAACACCATCCCAACTGTGAAGCATGGAGGTGGAAACATCATTCTTTGGGGATGCTTTTCTGCAAAGGGGACAGGATGACTGCACCGTATTGAGGGGAGGATGGATTGGGCCATGTATCGCGAGATCTTGGCCAACAACCTCCTTCCCTCAGTAAGAGCATTGAAGATGGGTCGTGGCTGGGTCTTCCAGCATGACAACGACCCGAAACACACAGCCAGAGCAACTAAGGAGTGGCTCCGTAAGAAGCATCTCAAGGTCCTGGAGTGGTCTAGCCAGTCTCCAGACCTGAACCCAATAGAAAATCTTTGGAGGGAGCTGAAAGTCCGTATTGCCCAGCGACAGCCCTGAAACCTGAAGGATCTGGAGAAGGTCTGTATGGAGGAGTGGGCCAAAATCCCTGCTGCAGTGTGTGCAAACCTGGTCAAGACCTACAGGAAACGTATGATCTCTGTAATTGCAAACAAAGGTTTCTGTACCAAATATTAAGTTCTGCTTTTCTGATGTATCAAATACTTATGGCATGCAATAAAATGCAAATCAATTACTTAAAAATCATACAATGTGATTTTCTGGATTTTTGTAAAAAAATTACAGACCTCTACATGCTTTGTAAGTAGGAAAACCTGCAAAATCGGCAGTGTATCAAATACTTGTTCTCCCCACTGTATAAGGGCTGAACATGCAGATAAATGAAAGTCAAATAAATTAAGTCGATTTTTGCTGGGGTCTCGGGACTGATAGGGTTAACCAATTTGACAAGCGTTAAAATGGGTACCTTCCCAGTGGGAACTGGGAGCACTGTCCTACACTGAGGTGTCAAAGTACAAAGCCAAGGTTTTTACTGCCTGTCAGGACATTTGAGTGTGTGCCAGCATCTCTACCTCATCACTCACACTGTGGCGTGTTCATAGTGTCACAATCCTGTCACATCAAAGTCAGATGGGAGGAGACATCATTACTGGGCCTTTGGCACACTCCCATCCTTCAAACTGTTAGAAGTTAGGGCTGTACGTGTAGACATGGGAAAGAGCACTGCCTGACAGCACAGGAGGTTGGTGGGACCTTAATTGGGGAGGATGGGCTCATGGTAATGGCTGGACTGGAATTAGTGGAATGGTCTCAAACACATGGTTTCCATGTGTTTAAAGCCATTCTATTAGCTCCATTCCAGCCATTATTATGAGGCTAACCTCAGCAGCCTCCACTGCCTGACACACAACACATGTCTGGATATATAGGCCCAAAGAACCTGCTGTCTCTTTTTTTATACTCAACTTTCTC